TACTGGACAAAACACAACCCAGGAATATGTTGGTTTCACACAGGTGATTGAACTTTATAAAACGTAAAATTTTAGTTTTACAGAAAGGAGAAACAGACGCCACTAGAATGATGGAAAGGTCTTCCTACGTATTTTTAGCTGAAGATAATATTGTGAAATCTCGGCTAGATTTAACCATAAATAAATAAATGTCAGGTTTGTCAAACATTTACTAGTATATGACGTAAAAACAATGTTCATATGACAGTCATAACCTTCGAACTTTCTGTGGTGATCGGACCAAAGTAGAATTTGAACTTTGACATACTGATAACGGGTACAGACAATAAATTTATCCTCTAGAAGGAAGAAAGGAAGAAGGAATTTTTTTTTTACCGTATCGTAATATGACATAGTGATTGTGGGAATTCTGAATATAGCTGGCGCTGTTCTCATTTGTATATATGTGTATGATCATTATTCGCCCTAATTCCGTTATTTCTGTTGTTTACTTTCTGCTCGGTACTAATTGGCAATCTGGCAGTATATTTCTGTAAATGATTAGGTTTGAAATTATTTAAGAGACTTTTTTTACAAATGGAAGTCGAAATCTCGCCGAAAGCGACAGAGCCACGATATTTGTTTTTCCTCCTCGAATAGTGTTACACTTTCCGCCGCCATCACATCCACTCGTCTAATGCCATGGTTACCATTCTCAGGGCAACAATAAACGTGACGACAGCTGAGAATCGAAATATTCTTGATCAATAGTTATAACAAGTGTTGAAATATTTATCAGCTGTTTGTTTCTTGACTATGCCTACCAAAGGCCAAGAATAAAGCACCATATGTTGTGTGATTGCCTTAAGGTATAGATGCAGGTTCGTGGACACTTGCGAGTGAAATATTTTTTTGTTGCTTTTTATTATCCAAAACGTCTTGGCTATAGACTGTTGAAATTTTGTAGAATTGTGAATAGTGGAACATACACAAAAAACGATTTTAAAATATAGATAACAGGTGCAAACATTATCTCTTTTGAATACTTAGCATGATTTAGCAAGACTGTACATAAATAATAAAAAAAAACATGGTGAAAAAAAGAAATGACGGGATCTCCATATTATGCACTGTATTTAACTTTTTACAAAACGTTAATACATTTAAATTTGAAACTGTAACAGCCATTTTAATTATGAGCATTGGCAAACTTCTTACTGAGTGAATTGTTATGCAAATTAGCAATTATCTCAGCTTCTTTTTGGTGCACATTCCAGAACTTAAAAAAAATAGCTCCTAGACGTTTTGACCTTTTGTTTTGAAATGTTCACAAATGATTGACAATGTGTTTATCTTCAAAACGCCGTCGGGGAATTGCTTTTAGTTCAATAGTGTTACAGCAATCGTACAGACAACTAGCCTGGGTGTTAATTTATGCATGAACTTGAAGTAATGAAATTTGAGCAGCTGCCCTGAAAAATTGACAACTGGTAGACAGTTTTCAAGACGGCACTTTCTTCACAGTAAACAGATGTACCCATAAACCAATTTTGACAGGAAACAGAAGCATGGTTTAGAAGCTATTTTTTTTTCAAATCACTTTTGTCCAAAAAAGCACAATTTTGTGCATATTTCAAACTACAGTGTCCATAAAAATAAAATACTAACAAAACTTTAAAATTAATACAATAAGCTTTCCGAAAATATATAGTTTTGTGGACAAGGGAAGTCATTTTGGTTTCCTAATTAACTAATTAAAATACCACCTCAGGTAAACTGCATCTCTACCTTAAAAGACTAAATGACCACATGACCAAGCAGTCCTGAACTTGACATATTAGCGACAGTAAACACTGCTTTTATTGTGTGTCATTATTTATGTACTTCGCGACTATTTTGGCCGGTAGGTAATGGGAAACTAAATTACAGACATGATCAAATTTAGTGGATGAATTGACGCTGGTTCACAGGTTGTGTTAGTTATGTTTATTCATTGAGTTTGTGTGTTTTCCTGTTTTATTTTGAGATTATTTTGTTCGAATATTTGTGATGTTACGCTACACTCACGATTCATATATTAGAAATATGCTAGTCATGTTTATTCATTGCATTTACGGTGTTTTCTTGTTGTATTTTGTGATTATTTGTTCGTATATCGTGACGGTACACTAATTCACACACACGATTCACATGGTGGAAATATGTTAGACAGTTTTTATTTATTGTTCTTTATGTTTGCATTTTTCGCATGTCACCTTATAGGATTATCTTGTAATTATCATTTGCGAATATCACATGACATGGATGTTAATAACAGATGAAATGATTGCGTCACATACAATAGTACGTGATATACATTTGGGTTGAAACCATTACAAATAAAAACAAAAACAATTGTAAAAGCCATGAAAGGTTGAAATGCGACGTAAACACGTGATATTTTAATATGGATTGAATGTGAAATCACGTTAGTATATTTCATTTCAACTGCCATGAATATTTTTTTTCACTCTGTTAACTTTGTTTTCCCTACCTGCACATCGTGCACCAATCGTGTATTATAGTTATTTACATAATTATGTTGACATATTTTGTCAAGTCAGCAATTTGCAGTATCCGGACCATATGCTAAGACTTAACATCTCACAGTTGATTGCTATAAATTGGTGTTCACTGTGCGGTATCGTCACTTCGTCGTATTCGAAGACTAAACCTACTACCCGGGTACGTGAGTATGCTGTACATTGTATTATTTAACACATAGATATTCAATCAGTTAATATATACTTCAGATGTGAAATGTATTCTCGTCGACGTCCTCATCTGTCTTCAGATTCTTCACGCCGTGAATTCGAACTATGACATGCATATCAACTATACGCCACTGGTCGTTTTCCACAAATTCGAAATCTGATGATTTCTCGTTTGTTTTAAATACTTCTTCATTATGTGACTCTTGGTAAAATGTGTGTTGATTTCAATTTTGTGAAATTGGAATTTGTTGATGTAGTTTTTACAACTTCGTATTTCTATAAAACCGCAGCTCTGCGTTTCATCGGTGATAACTTTGATCATTGGTGCACGTTACATAATGCCAGCCACCTTTATTACAAGATTAGCGTATCCCCGTAGATGACTGCTTATTTTAGGTACTGAAGAGACGAACACATTAACCCATCTCGTATCTTGCCACAGAAAGACTACTACTTGAAACCACGGTCCATTTAGAACGCTATGACGAAAATTGTTGAAACTTTTGATCTTTTATTTTATTTTTGTTTTCATCAGCCATCCATGGAGTCTTTACAACTGTTACGTTTGCTGTGCATCTTCACTATTCTAGGTAGGTAGGCATCATGTGATTTCTATCAGTTATAATTGATCGCATTGATGTAATACTCAAAATAAATTTTAGAGAATGCGTTAATACGACATTTGGTGTTACAGTGTCCTTAGTTATAGAATATTGTAACATTGTGTTCAAGATTTATTCCAATATTTGAGCAATATACACGTGTGAAGTCTTTATTTTTGATTTGCCTCTATTATTAGGGATTGTTAATGGAGCGTGGGATGCTTGTTCTGTAACCTGTGGTGGTGGTACTCAAACTAAGTTGTGTGCTACACCACCATGCCCGATTCGATCATGTATGACAATCGATTGTCCGCTTGAGATAGGTAAGTGATTGCCTAATATGCACAACAGTCATTGTGAATTGTTTTAAAACTAATCTTTCGTCTATCATTATAGCGTTTATTGCCTGTCGTCAACGAAGAGGTCGTTTTGAGCGGTTACTGTGGTTGTATGTACGAATGTTGCGTGTTTATATATTGATATGTACTCATGTTAATTTCGTGCTTCGTCGAATATATTACTCATAGTGGTTGCCATGAAATTAACTGCTATTGTCTACATATCACCTTTTTTACAGATTACAAACACGAAGGATGCTGGAAACAAACAACTCAAGTCACGTTATTGGAAGGAGGTGGTAATCCATATCTGGATCCTACTGATGAAGTCAGGGTGAGTATGAACTATATATACATATATATTTAGCTATATGCGGGATTCTTTATTAAACCAACAGTTTTGAATTTGCATATATCACTAATTTCTTACCCGTTATGTTTCTATCTATTGAACTCGATTAACCAAGAAGTAATGTAGAACCCTGCTCTGGGGTAAATATAGCAAACATGTGGTAAAATTGTCTCTTTTAACAACATGTTCATCTTATTGCTTGACAACATTATATTTATTGATTGCGTTGTGATATGAAATGACTCCACACTGTTAATATTACAGAGTTGTGCAAGGGCAGCATATGATGAAGGATACACGTATTTTGTGTTTCTTGACGGCAAGTGTCATGCTGCATCAACGCCCGATGACTACAATGGCAGTGGGACATCTGGTCGTTGCCGATTTGGAAAGGGAACACTAAACAAGATGGACGTATACAGGATTCATGGTAATAACCACGGATAATTCGATGGTTGAAATATTCTGCCATTCACATTTTGTGTACTTAGCAGATGAATCCCGCCCTGATTGGTTTATGCACATTTTACATTATTTATATTTATTCGATTATGTTTGCGTTAAGTAATTATAAATATGCAATGGAACTGTGCAATCCATGAAGAGTTAAAACCATTACATTTTGCAAGCCATGTTAAAAATTACGTCGGTGGCGATGCTAATAGCAGTGACTTATGTGTCACTTTAAAGTCATCTCTGTCATCACCTATACCATACTACAGCTCAAATTTAATGATGTATTGACTGACTTTTGTGTCTTGTGCAATTGTTATTATAGATTGGGAGTGTCCGACTGGTTCTGATTATGGATTTTGTAGATTGCCACATATTCGAACGCCTATCTCAGGCCGTGTCTGTACCCATGCGGACGATTGTTTCGAGGTGGGCGGGGAGCCGCTTGATCCAGTTATTATTTGCTGTAAAAAAGGTGAGTTGATAATTGGCAAAATCAATATTTTGTAATGCCTATTCCAACACGACGTTCACACTATTGAATAGATTCTTAGTGCAATTTAACCAAATTATGATTGTCGTTTTCAAATATTTTTGGCAGTGTTCTGCAAAGACGTATGTGGACAAAAAATCGTTCACCGCAACTGCTGGTGTGACGACAAGTGCATAGAACATGGCGATTGCTGCCCAGAGTTTATGGACGATTGCTCAGGTAAAATTGCGTTAAAATGTACCATCACATCAGTATCATAGAGATACTGCATATGATATATTTCAACAGAGTGTTCTAGAATTGATGATTGACACGTATATGAGTGTACCGTCCCCCATTTTTTTCAAATAATACCTTCACAAAGTTTAAACAACTTGAAACGACGTCATTCCCCAATTTATTATATTTTATGATGATGATGAATATATAGATTATGTAACGAATCCCATATGCAATTATAAAGTTGAGTAGTGGATCACAACTCAGTACGCATTCTCATATTTTGTGATTGAAGCATGTCTTACCAGGATGAGTAATATGACATATTGTTACAGGTAAAGACACGTGCAGTGGTGTTGGAGATCCGCATTATACGTCTTTCGACAACAAATATTACCACTTCCAGGGGAAATGTGAATACACATTGTTAAGTACCCAATGTCCACTTTCACCCTATGATTTTCAAATTATTGGTATAAATCAACCATGGGGCGCATCTGCTGCAACCACGACGAAGGAGGTCAGGCTGCTGTTTAATGACCATGTACGTAACTAACTGGCATACCACTGATTTTACATAGATTGAAATATTGGTTTCGCATGTCCTTATTGTTTTTAATAAAACTCATTTGCTAATCATAGCTTTCACATTCTAAACATGTTTTATTTTTATTTTATAGAATATACTATTGAAGCAAGGAAAGCAAATAATATTGAATGGAGTCGTAGTCTTGCCACCTGTTACAGTGTCGCCTTATACAACAATAACATTAGCTGGATCTTATTTGGTAAGTTGATTTGAGACATTGTATCCTAGTGTATCGTGAGTGAATGTTTATGATTTAGTCATAAGTTGATTCGTTATTTATCCCATTACTGTCAGATCGTAACAACTGGTTATGGAATAAAAATTAGATGGGACGGAGTATACAGAGTTTACGTAGATGTATCAAGTGCGCATAGTGGGAAAGTATGCGGTCTATGCGGAAACTTTAATGGTAACATTGGAGACGAGTTTATACAGCCAGATGGTACCCAGGTCAGAGTTATATTCAAATTGTTACTGTTATTACTTACAACAATACGTATATATACATGTATATTACAGTCGTTTGTATACAGTTTTTTCTTCACAGTATATTACAACTATAATAGGGATTTTCATTTGCAAGTTACTCTTACGAAAAATATATAAGTTATAGAAGTGATTTATATTCCTACCAGGTTACAAATGTTAATGTCTTTGGAGATAGTTGGGCAGCGGCCGCAAATTGTGTCCCTACAAAAAAACGATCTATCGAAGAAGATTTACCACCACGTGGTTTAGCTGAAGATGCTAAAGAACTATGTGATTCGTTGTTCAACTCAGGTATGGTCCACATTCAATGTGGTAATTTTCACTGTGGGCTGGATATGTTTGATTTTCTCAATTTTTTCATGGGAATATTCTAATTTTGTGAAGGTTTAATGCGTATATGCACATGCCTAGCAACGAGTTTGTGTTGTGCTTGAACGTTAAAGCGAAGGGGTCGTCACACGCGCAGTAAATTAACAACGCATGCTAATAGTAGGTAGTACTCTGCCGTCTTTCGGACAAATAATGGATTAATCCCATGGGCGTGGGATATCATCAATATCTCGTGTTCAAGGTAAAAATGTTATTTAAGATGCGTGTCTGGGAAGGAGTCGTTAAATCTGGCACCGGTATGCCCTCGTATGAACCCTGATTGTTATTTAGATATCTTCATCGTCTTATATTACACTCTGTATTATACTACAGGAAATATACCGAGTTGTGTGAACACTGTTGATCCGGCTAATTACCATTTTTCCTGTGAGATGGACGTTGAACTCTCACTTCCCGTTGTAACTGGAGGATGTGCTGTTGTGGCAGATTATGTGGCGCAATGTATAAATGAAGGTTTGACAATTGGAGACTGGCGGACCGGAACCGTATGTGGTAAGTTTGACGAGTTAATGTTGTATCACATTGCAATCCACCAGTAAAATGATCTCCCAATGACGGAAACGTATCACGTGTGTTTCTATGCATGCGGAGCTTTTATGGTAATATATCACTCACATTTACATGGCTCGTCTCTATCCTAAGAAATATGTAATGAATATGTTCATAATTATCTTCCACCATTTTGTTCGGGGAGTTTATTGATCAACAATTATGATGATAGACACCAATAGCCCACAAGATCTCATTTAGAGTGAGAGAATCACGTGACTTGCTGGGATAATATTTCAGTTGCAAAAAAGGAGCCTCGCGGCCCTCTCGCTCTAAACGAGATCTCGGTGGCTATTGTCTAAGGTCTATTCGTTTCTTTTTTGTCAGAGGTCGAATGTCCACCTGGTATGGCATATACCCCATGTGGACCAGAATGCCCTGCGTCTTGTTTGGATCCTTATCCCATTGGGTCATGTACTGAGCTGTGCACTGAAGGTTGTTTCTGTGAAGAAGGTCTCGTCTTAGACGAAGGTGGAATATGCATTGATAAAGCTGATTGTGGTTGTTATTATCTTGGGAACCTATACAGGGTAATGTATAAACCAGACCCGTATAACAAGTAGTGAAGAAAAGTAATCGTTTTATCATAAGAGCAACTGTGATATCCGCGGTGTTTTAATGGTTTAGCTACGCTATTCGATTCACACCATACGATATAACGTATTGTTAATTTGACAACAGACTCGTGAAATTCCAATCGTTAATTATAAAAATTCAAAATTATTTGTCATTTGAACAATTGATATTTTTTTCGATACTTCATCGAAATCCTTCGCTAATTTAAGTTATTCAATCAGTAGTTTATCAAATCAAATCAAAGTACGGTCTATGTGCCTCCGACGCTATCACTGGTCTTGGTTCTTTCCTTTCAATGGCCGGCCACTTTCTCAGAAACATTTTTTTCGCTGATACTGCTGTACATATAAACACCAGATGTGACGTGTGGTATTTGTTATCGCGTTATGAGCCCGAAAAAATATCAAAACTTGTTCTCGCAATACTGCCTGTATTTCTGGTATTAGCCTTGTTTAACCTCTAATTATTTCAATTCGAGGAAAAAAAATAAAATGTTAATAGATAATTTCATTTCTTATTTTCAGTTTGGTGAGGTATTACCTATGATGTTTCCGTGTTGTTGTAATAGTAAGTGCATGTACTAGTATATCATAGTATTCGTATTATCGTATCTTTTAATTGAAATAAAACAAAATATCGACTGATGGATCACGTGGGCTAATCACATTTCTATGCCAGCTTATTAAACTAATTACATGAA